ACACACACACACACACACACACACACACACACACACACGAAGATACTGCCATGTGTCTTTAGCACCAACCAGGCTAAATAAGTTATAAAGCAGCATGTTTCCAGGAATATAAATTGTCTTTTTTTTCCCCCCTTCCAAATGTTGGTAATACAGGCAGCCCTGTAATACTTTCCAATAAGGGCTACTCTCGTCAACCCCTTTTTTCTAGGAGGTCTGTATCAATAGAGTCTTGCTTCATCAGTCTTGGCCTTCTTAGTCCTTCATTAAAATGTGTTTTACACTGGAATCAAGTTTAGCATGCTAAATTAAACTTCTAATACTGGCAGGAGTCCAATCACATTTTACACGAGGAAACAAAGGTTCAGAAAGAGGCAATAATTTGCTTAAGATCTCCTTATTTGATAAAGGGCCAAGATATAACTTCAGAACCCTAATGATTTTTTAAATCAAGTTTGTTGAGGTACAATTTACATACAGTCAAATGACCCTTTTTAGTATATAACAACAATTCTTGATAAACGTGTCATATAATCATCACCAAAAGCAAGATACAGATATCTCTCTCACACACACACAGACACACACACACACACACACACACACACACGTCACTCACTCACTCACCCAGTCACTCTTAAATTCCTCTGGTCCTTGTAATGTCCACTGGAGCCAGAGAGCCAGGGGAGAGCTTTCAACAGAATCATGATGTGATCTTACTTCATTCACAAGGATCATCCTGTTTGCTATCTGGAGATCAAACTTGGGAATGTGGAAAGATGGAATCAGGAAAGAGTGATATGGGAGAGTGACAATGATGGTTTAGGACAGGGCAGTCAGGTGGAGAGGTGACAAGTGCAGAAAGCAATGTCAGAAACGAAGTGATGTCACTATAAAACAGAACAGAGCCATTGCTACTCGGTGGCGCAGGACTAATTTGAACGAGTATTTAATGTTGAGTGGGCAATCCAAATTAGTGCACTTCAAAAGGTAAGGGAGGGGTATGTGCAGTTCAAAAAGTATACTCAAAACTTTTGTTTTGGAAAATTTGAAACAAAAATATTTGAGGAAGGATAGAGCTAATATACACATTTAGATGTAAACCCATATATGAAGCAGGAAAGGGAACTATTTGGGCCCCATCACCTCATCGAAGTCTCCTCTCACAATATGAACATCACCGGCCAGCGTCTTGAGATAGTCGTAGCTCTCTTTGGTGCAAAGGTTTCCTGTGCAGAGAATGTGCTGAATCTTTCCCGGAACCAGCAGTTTCTTGAATTTAGCTGGCAGACTGTTGCAGCGGTGGGGGATGTGCAGATCTCCTAATACCAGCACCAACTTGAAAGTGCCAAGTGAGATAACAGATAATGTTCAACAGGATGTCAAAATATGACCCACACTATGCCGAGGTAGTTACACGTCCACATCATCCTTTGATCACTCCCCCTTTTATAGTAAACTTCTCAGAGATTCCAGAACTCAAGAGAGAACAGAAGTTATCTGTGCCATTCCTGTCGTGACCACTGCAACAAGCAAACTGAGCACACATACTCTGTTCTAAATCCGTCTTTTTTTTCCTTGGTCAGATAGTTGTGCATAAACAATAGTTTGTCATTCTCTTTAGCAAGAACAAAATCAAGCATTCTAAAAGGATTCCGTTAACTGAAACCAAACCCACTGCCATCGAGTTGATTCTGATGCATACTGACACTTTAGGACAGGATAGAACTGCTCCACAGATTTTAAATCTTTACAGAAGCAGACAGGTTTCTTCTGTACATGGCTGGTGGGTTTAAATTGTCAAGCTTTCAGTTAACAGGATTCATTTAGAGAATTAAAAAATACTGTGAATAAAAAAAAAATTCAGGATGAAAATATACTACTGGGCCCTATGAGATTTGGTATCTTGGAAAACTGATAGTCTGTTTCTTATTTCTGCAGTTATAATGCAAAACTTCATAAAAACTCCAGGAACACAGAGGGTATTGTTAAATATGTATGTATGTCTAAAGAGCTTACTTGATAATTTGTATTTATTAGTCTGACACTGCAGAAATAGCCAAAAAATGGCATTATTTGTTCAGTAAACTATTACCACCACCATCACCCCCCCCTCAAAAAAAACCTAATAACCATTTATGACAGAGGGACTAAATATGTGCTTCTGGTTTATAGTCTTTGATACCTGTTCAGTATTAACAGTCCTCACTCTGCCTCATTTTTATCGCCTGGGTTAAAAGGCCCATGTATCCTCAGTGTATGTCTCAAATTAAAAACAAAACAAAAAACTCAGTTTTATAACCTTTCATGGGTACAGAGCTTTTTTTTTTTTTTAAGAGTATTCTTAAAAGAAGGGTCAGCTAACTGATGAATTTTAGCAGGTAGATGGTTCAGAGGTGTAACATCACCTTGGATGGCATACATTTTACTTAAAAATATAAAAGAAAAAACAATCTATAAAGTTTCTTAAGATCCGACATATATTATTTAAATTAGGCATTTAACTGAATGAATATTGTCAAAGGGTTATTTAAATGCTGTCTACCAAAGGGCAACCCAAACCAATTTTTTCATGTTTATTAGCAGCAAAACCTCAGTTCTATAAAAGGGTATTTTCTTATATGAAAAACTTACTGTCATCGAGTCAGTACTGATTCACTGCAACCCTACACGGGGTTTCTGAAGCAGATAGATAGCTTCAACTTTCTTGCTTGAAGCAGCTGTGGGTTTGGACCACTAACCTTGCAGTTAATACCCTAACACCTAACCCTTAGCACCACCAGGACACCAGGCCCTAACTACATTTGAAGAAGGCATGACTGTTTCCTCAAAGGATCAGAGAAAACAAAATATCTACAACAGAAAACAAATTTGCCACCGAAAACTTTGCAAATTGAAATGAATCAAAAATAAAAGGTGTGAAATGACAGTGATTAACTAAAACAAGTTTGCTTCACTTGGCAACAAAAATCAAAATGAGCACAGAGGACAGAGTGTTATAAAGACAGCGTCAACGCTGGGTTACAGAATAAGCACCCTTTCAAGGAAAATGTGAAATGGGCTTCTTCTTTAATAAGACTGGGTAGTTCTGTGACACCTGCTCAGTGTCCCATGCAGATCTTACTGGGTATAACCCCTAGTGGGTACACCAATAAGAACTGCCATGACACTTTCCTCCTTGCTGGTAATCAATACAAGACTACCTGGATATAGAAAAATCTTCATTGAGCTGGGACGGGTCCCTTCAGAAATGGATTGAGGGACATAGTTAATGTGGAGAGTTGGTTTTTTGGGGGGAAAAAAGGTAAAACACTGATTTGTATATTAAAGAAAACAAACTCATGAAAGGGTAAATTTCCATTTAAAACCAAAAACTACCACCACCACCAAAACTGTTGCTATCAAGTTGATTTCGACTTGACAGCAACCATATCTCTATACCGTGGAGTGGTTAGTAGGCTCAGACCACTGACATTTTAGCTAGCAGCCAAATGTCACCAGGGCTCCACAGATATCTGAAAATGTTTGGGACTAATAATGACCGGGCCAGTCAATCTGAACGTGCTAGAAAGAACATTAGGAAAACATGGCACACTATAAGAATTATCTAAATTCTATTTAGGCTATGGATCATCACCATGTGTAACAAAACAATTAGCCTAAAATTGTATGCATGACCACACAAATGATTCAAAAATAGTAAATGTTCTTATTAGAACAGAATTCTTTGTTTCCAGTAGGGGCCAAGTTATAGGGGAAACAAATGGTATTACTTTAAAGCATATCCTTGTTCCAAATCTAACACACTCTGACAGGTCAGGTTCAGGATAGATTGTGTTTTATTTTTTTAATAACAAAAGATCCTAGAAATGGCAGTCTTGTTAAATTCAATAAGTAACCAACACAACCAAAGCATGGGAATTTGGCTTTTTTGGAAGACCTTAAAAGGGTAAGAAACCCAGTTATCAGCCACCCAGCCACCACTGTTAGTAGGAGCTAAGAGAAGAAACTTACTCTGTGCCCAGCCTTAGTGGAATGGAGAAGTTGATTGCAGACAGGGGATGAAAAATAAAAAGGGTGAAACATGACCAATGTTAAAAAGCAACAAAAGGAACCAACAACAACATAAAAAAGAACCTTTATCCAAATAAAAATGCAGACAATTGTTAATGATTTTTAAGTGTTATGAAAGAAAATGTTAAAAATCAGCTTTGCTCAAATAATAACAAATGAACAATTTGCTGTAATTTTAGAGACACATACACAGGTATTAAAATTTTTTGCCTTGTTAGATTTTTCTTTTAGCATTTTTCTTGTTCTTCATCTTAACTCCCATCTTTTTTGTTCCCTGTTCTATTTAGACTTTTCCATAAAAATCAGAAAATTTCACCAGTAATAGCTTAAACGAAGGCTGACATTTTCTGGATTCATAGGATCTAGTCATCCCTCAGATATTTTTATTTTAATTATCTTATGTTCAAAATTCTAGCAGTTGGTTGCGCAACTCTTTTAAGATTTAAACCACCAAATTGTATAGTATGTGAATTATATGTCAGTAAAACTGTTTAAAAATTTTTAGCAGTTGGAAAATGCTGCTGCAGGTAGGTCACTGTTTTTTACAGAGGATCTAACACAGCTCAGTGAATACATGATCGAGTAAAGAAACTGCCAACTGAAGATGCTCAAACAAAACCCACAGTTAATTCCAACTCATAGCAACCCTACTGGACAGAGAATTGCCTCTTTGGGTTTCCCAGTCTGTAGTCTTTATGGGAGCTGACAGTCTCATCTTTCTCCTTCGAGGCAACTGGTAGAATCGAACTGCTGACCTTAAGGTTTACAGCCCAATGCATAACCCACCGTTTCACCAAGGCTCCTTATTGAAAAGGCAGAGATAGTAAAAACAAACACCCTTTTTTACCAACTAGAATTGGGCCTTCCACATACCCAAATCTGCCATCCACAAACTGGATATTTTATACTAAGTTTTGAAAGTCTGTGGGGTCCTTTGTCAAACGATGTTTCTAATCATAAAATAATTGCTGCGACTGACTTCTGTACAATTCCTTCACATAACACTATGACCTGTATGTAAAGTGTGTTCACCTCTCAAAACCTGAATCACAGGTCAGGCCTTCACAGGGATAACTGTTTCCAAAGGAAACCCAAATGTGACAATGCATTTGCTGCCCCCAACAAATGGGAAGTTACTGCACAGTTATCCTGTAAATATGAACAGCTATTTCAAATCTGTCTAAGTCCCAAATGCCTCTATGGCTTCTTTGTTGGCTCCACAGTGACAGGTGGGCAGGGTTAACGACAGAGGGTGTCTGTCTAGAAGCAAAAACCACACGTGGGATTAAAGCTTTCATACTGTTAAAGAAGTGATAATAGCACAAGCCATTTATCTTTGGCTATTTCTTCTATAAGCCACTTCTTGAAAGGGCAATGTTAGTCGCGGAATCCTGACAATCTTAAACATGCAATCGATGCCTATGAAAGAGAGAAGTCCCTTTACAATGAACCTTATTAAAATTAATACTAAATTCATCAGGGCTCTTTCTGAAACAGTTCTCTTTTTTCCTGGGGTGGGGTGGGGTGGGAGGTGGGGCTCAAGAGCAGCCAGAAAATCTGACAGCAGCTAGGGGCCCCCTCCGGGTACAGGGGTAATGGCCTCAGGGAAGTAAAGCGCCTCAAATTAACCCTTGGTGCAAAGATTGGCCCTCTCCCCATCAGAACGTGCACGCTCACAAACATTGCCAAGCAATTTCAGGGAGTTCACAGGCGAGGAAAGAATCCTAGTCTCTGAGTCGCAGTCTCCAGGAAAAGAAAAAAAAGATATTCGATTTTAATTGCCTAATCCAGTCCTCTGAGGGCACACCACGCAGTTCAACAGCGGGTTAGCAGGTTATTTGAGGGGCAAAGGGGAGTTCGTTTTTTATCCGCTTTCCCCGGAGGCCGACTTAAAAACAAGTGGGGAATTCTGCGCGCTACTTCTCGTTTTGCACGCGGACTACGTGGCGGCGTGGGGGTGGGCAGCAGCACCCCGGCCAGCAGCAGCAGCAGCGGGGCGTGCTGTCGGCCAGGAAGAAGCTGGGGAACATCTGGAGACGGAAGAACATGCTCCTTTCCTGAAGCACAGGCCCAAGGCCTGCCCCGACTGGGTGTGCGCGTCTCGTGACAAACTGAGCCGCGAGCGGGGGCCCTCTCCACTGGGACGCCCTCCGGCCCGGCCCCGGGGGCGGCGAGGCGCGGCCAGGGCGAGAGGCCGAGAGAGGTAGCCGCTCCCATTCCTCCTGCGGCCTCTTCCAGGCCGGCCAGGGCCGCGCCGGCCAAGGCGTCCGCGCCCGCCCCAGCCCTCGCCCAGAGCGTCTCCGCGGCGCCGATCGGCGCAGCCCCTCGGCCGAGAGACGGGCCTCGGTGGCTGCCTCCGCCGCCCTCACCATCCTGTCACCAGGCTCCGTTCAGTCACAGCAGCCGCCGCCACCCTCTTCCTCTCAGGCTCTCTGACGCCCCGCCTACCTCGTCCACAACCAATGAAACGCGACGTCGGGCTGGCGACGGCCTTACGGTGGCCCACACGGGTCTAACCCCGTCGGGAAGCGTAGTTGCGTTTTAGGAATTGGAGGCTGAGTAGCGAGAGAGAGGGATGAGATCTCGAAGCTTCGGACAACATCCGGGCACCTGGGGCCGGCCGTCGAGCTGAGGCGCATCTATCGCCTGGCTTTTTAGGCCCTGCAGCCATGCTGAAATGCGAAATGAACGGTAGTCAGGTGAAAGGTGAAGTGGCCTTTCATACCTTCCTATTTAGAGCGGGGAACTTATCAAGTTCATGGGCGCATCTCCACCTTCTCCCCCCCCCTTCCCACGCCTCTCCCCGACTTCATGCAAATCGACTCGAGACGAAAGAACTGGACACGGTCAATTTTCCCCCTGTAGCTTCTGATGGGTGGATGAAGGCCCATCTGTTTTTATTTATGCAAAAAAATTAAATAAGGGATTGTCCATGAGGGAATGAAGTTGCACCTCGGAGACACGGATTTGGGGTGCAGGCTTCGCAGTGGGGAGTGTTTGGGGAGGAGTTGGGAGGAGCCTAAATCTAACTGGCTCCGTTTTAGTTGCCTGGGCTGTTTAATGGGGAAAACAGCATCTAAGTCACTTGGTGTGGGAATGAAATGGTCAAGAACCCGGTAGTAAACGAGGGTACGGGGTTAGGGATGGACTTAGTGTCGGTATGTACAACAGAAAGAAATACTGTCCGTTCAGGGACTACTATGATTATGCAAATAGAACTTTAGAAATAGAAGATATTCAAGAAATCTTCATAGAGAAGAATATTTCCCGTAGGTTCTCAATCTGTGGGTCGCGACCCCTTTAGGGGGTCGAACGACTGTTTCACAGGGGTCGCCTGATTCATACCAGTGGCAAAATGACAGTGATGAAGTTAGCAACGAAAATAATTTTATGGACGAGAATGATGAGGGAAATGAATGTACAAATGTGCTTTACACAATGGATGGATGTATGGATTGTGATAAGAGTTGTATGAGCCCCTAATAAAATGATTTAAAAAAAAAAGAAAAACGATTAAAAAATAATAATTTTATGGTTGAGGGGTCACCACAACATGAGGAACTGTATGAAAGGGTCGCAGCATTAGGAAGGTTGAGAACCACTGCTATAGACTATAATCTGAAAATGGCCACTGGAAAGCATCGAATGCTATTATGAGCAAGCACAGGGGCGATTTCTCTTCTGCAATGTGTGGCTCAGTTGTCAACCAGTATAATTTTGTATAATTTTTTAGTTTTACTTTTCCCTCCTAGACTGCTAAACCGGTGACAGCAGAGATCGTACCTATTTTAAATAGGACAGCCTTGGAAGCCCTGTGGAGCAGGTTCTACCCTCTGCTTTTAGGGTAGCTCTGTTCAAAATCAACTCATTAGCCACAGTTTGGTTGGGTTTTTTATTTTTCTCAGTGTACAGTCTTAGAGTCCTTGAGTTATTTTTTCCTGTTTTCCCATGGTGTAAACAGTTAATGCACTCAGCTACTAATCAGAAGGTTAGCACTTCAAGGTTAGCACCTGGAGTCACCGTGGAAGAAAGGTCTGACATCTACTCTCTACATATCAGCCAATGAAAACCCTATTGGGGGCAGGGGGCAGGCCCTATGGAGCACAGTTCTACTCTGACACATATAGGGTTGCCATGATTTGGAATCAACTCCACATTTTCCCCTAAATACTTTTCCATGGGTTTATATGGCTGTCCATTTTTATTCCTTCATAGTCTATCACATCTGTTGCTACGTTTCTTTCTTCATAATCATTTAAAAAGCATGAACAGCCCCCTACTAGGTCAGCCCTAGCCTCTCTGACAGGGCACCGATGTGTGTTTGGTGAGAAAGCCTGTTATCTTCTATGCCACTCAGAGTCATCGGTGATGCATGTAATATGTTTGTCCTCACTTTCTTTCCCATAACTTGTTTTGACTTTGTTCCCTGTGAAGTTCATGAAATCCTTCAATCACACACTCCACGTCTGTTTTCACACTTTTGCTTTCTCTTGTTTTGCAAATACATTAAAGCCAAGTTAAAAAATACAGCAGTATGAAAATTAGCTTGCCACAGTATCTCCATTCACCACAGTCAACATACAGGAATGAAGCACTGTGTTGCAGTCTGCAAAGTTTTTGAGTCAGTACTACTATTGGTCTGGTATTCTGTTACAGATGTCTAACTGTATTTCTGGAAAGCAATGTAACAAACAAAATTTGCTTTAAAGCACTCTTTTTTATGCATTGGTCTTGTGTTCTCTGAAAGCTATAGTTGTTCTTCATTTTATTCTTAATAAGAGAGAAATGTAAACACCTTTCTTTTTCTCTGTAGTATTTGGGAAAGCAATCCAAGCTCTATCAAGAATTAGTGATGAATTTTGGCTAGACCCGTCAGAAAATGGTGTAAGTTGCAAACATTATCTCATAGATCATCTCTGAAGGTAAAAGATGTTGAAAGCTTCTTATTCAGACTGACTGTTCTCCAGACAACCCAGCTGTTGCTGTTATGCTTTTCCCTGTTCATCTTTTCTCTCGCATGTTTGAGCACAGTGAGAATCAGGCAGATAAACTGAAGTGATTTAAAGCGGAAGCCACTAATTGGTGGCCCAGAAGCCGCAGGTGGGGCCTACACTGCGTTTGGGATTGTAAAAAAATAGATTTGAAATCATCCCCAACACTTGTAATTTGGGAGAATCCGTTTTAAAAAATCTGGATTTCCTGTTTTTCTTGAAGACCTGACAATCTTGAGCCTGCACTCCCACAAGGAAGCATTTTGCTGAAGTTGAGCAGTAGTTTCTTCCAGACAAAGTAGGAGCATGTCAGTCTGCTCTGCTGCTCTTTTTCTCCATTTGTATGGCCTTTTGCCACTTCATGCTTTTATGTTAACTATGCTATACATAGTTTTATTAAACAACATTACAAAATAAAACATAATATATATCCATATATGTTATACTTGGAAGATTTTAGATTTAATACATATATGTAATGTAGTTTAGATAAGTACATATATGAGCATTTGTGTCCATCTGCAGGTTTAATGCACACTATATAGCACAGGGCATACATTGCGGTTAGGGACCGTGGGGTTGGTTCCAACTCATTAGGACCGTCTATAAAACAGAAATAAACACTGCCCAGTTCTGTGTCATCCTCACAATTGCTGCTGGGTTTGAGCTCACTGCTGCAGCCACGGTGTCAATCCATCTCACCAAAGATCTTCCTCTTTTTTGCTGAGCCTCTACTAAGCAGGATGCCCTTCTCCGGGGACTGGTCCATCCTGTAATGTGTCCAAATTAAGTGTGATGAAGAAAATTTGATGGAACCCAAAAAGTCAACCACTTTGTGGAGGCAAAATGTGGCAGCCTACTTCCAGAAAGATTACAGTGTGGGCAGTTCTACTGTGTCCTGCAGAGCTGCCCTGAGTCAGAATCGCTAGCAATGGGTTTTTTAAACTGTGATGTAGAGTCTCTGGGTGGTGCAAACAGTTAACAGACTGCTCATCAAAACACTGGGGAGTTAAGTTTACCCAGAGGCACCAGTGCAGAAAGTCCTGGAGGTCTAATTATGAAGAATTAGTCATTGAAAATCTTGTGGGATACCTTTCCACTCTGACTCACATGAGAAGGCCAGGAGTTGATACGGACTCAATGGCAACTGGTAACTGTGGTGCGAATCAAAATAGATGCTTTGAAATTATTATTTAAAAGAAGGTAGTTTTCATCTAAATAATCATTATTTTATTCCCCTTACTCCCCACCCCAGCTTGCTCTAAGATCTGTGAATTCTTGTCGATCAGCATATGGATGTATCCTCTTCTCTTCTTTGTATTTTCAACGTTACCAATGGTCATCTCCAGTGGGGATGAATGGCAAAGACCCACCACCACCTTTAAATTGCCAACTGGCAATGAAGGTAAATAGAACTGGCCTTGGTTTTTCTCCTGTTGCGTAAATATGTGTTCTGAAAGACACAATTTCAATTCCGCACCTGGTTTAAATGGCATGCAAGATACATTTGTTCATTGATTCATACTCTTCTTTTGTTCGTTTTCTAGAACTATATATATTTATTGTGTTTTCATCAAAAGTAGGCAAAATTCTCATTCAACAATTTCTACACAAATTATTGAGTGGTATTTGTTATATTCGTCACAAAGTGTGAACATTCTCAGTACTTTTGTTCTGGTTGGTCCATTTCCACTCCTCGTTTCCCTGCCCTCTTACATTCTCATCTTTGTTTTAAAGTGACTTTTGTTTGATCTCAGATAGGTAATTTTTAAAAAATGAACTTGTAGGTAGTTCATTGCTTTTCGCAGCTAATTATTTTCCATTTAACAATTCATACACAAACTGTTTCATGACATCGGTTGCAATCCGTGCAATATGTCAGCGCTCTGCTCTTTCCTCCTGGGCTCCCCATTTCCATGCATTCCATTTCTCTGCCCTTCCATCTTCCTTTCCCTGCCTGGGCATCTATTGTCCTTTTGTTTTCAGACAGTTGACCATCCTCAGAAGCACATTCCTCATGGGTGTTCATTCTCTACATCAAGCTAATATTTGGGAGTGACTTCAGTTCTAAGGTAGAAAGAACTTGGTTCTACATTATCACCCATTCTAACAGGATCCTCTATTGTGTTCCAGGTCAGAGCAATCACCAGTGGTAGCCAGGCACTATCTAGTTCTTCTGGTCTCAGGCTGGAGGCAAGCTGTGGTTCAACAGTCCTTTAGGCTAATTGGTTTTCTTCATTCTCCTTTGCTCTGAGCAGGGAGGAGTCAATGGTTGTCTCTTAGATGGCCACTTGCAAGGGTTTAAAAGCCCAGATGCAGAAGGGAGGGGGAGGGGAAAAAAGGAAAATGAGCTGATTCCGGGAACCCAAGAGGAAAGCAAATTTTGGGAATAATGAGGGCAACAAATGTATAGATGTGCTTTACACAATTGATCTATGTATTGTGATGAATTGTATGAGCCCCAATAAATTGATTAAAAAAAAAAAGCCCAGATGCTACTTAACAAACTAGGATGTAGAACTTGATCTTTGTGAACTCTGTTATGCCAGTTGACCTAGATGGCCCCTTGAGACAATGATCTTCAAGTCCAGTAACTCAGTCCCATGGGATGTTAGTTATGCCTAAGAAGTTTTCATATCTGTGCCCCTTATGTCCTCTGTTATACATAGGAACATACATGCAGCTCATGCATATATGTACATAAAAATATACACACCTATACCTACATATACACTCAGGTGTTGTCCCCTGTGACTTCCCACAACTACTTAGCATACGTATCTACCTATATACCCACTGATAAATTATTGTCATTACTGTTGTTGCATGATTGTATATGTTCGTTTCCATCAGGTTGTTGTCAGGTATTGTCAAGTTGGCTCCAACTCACAGCAATCCTTTAAGTAACAGAACAAAATACTGTCCTGTCCTGTTGCAACCACTGTGTCACTGTCATTCAGTCTTCCTCTTTTTTGTTAACCCTCTCCTTTACCAAGTATGATATCCTTCTCCCGGATTGGTCCCTCCAGATAACATGTCCAAACTACTTGAGACAAAGTGTCGCCATCCTCATTTCTAAGGAGCTCATTCACCATAGCTGTCCATTATTCTTATGTACCTTTCCATGTCTTCCTTGGTCATGTTTTGCTGACTTATTCATCTTATGTGTTGCCTTTTTCTTCACTGGAATTAACACAGTTGTTGTGGGTTACATGTTAGACTGAGAACCATAAGGTCAGCAGTTCAAAACCACCAGCTACTTCTTGGGGAAAAAAATGAAGTTTTCTTCTCCCTCTGCCAAAACTCATAGCCTTGGAAACCCAAGGGAGCAGTTCTAATCTATTCTAGAGGGTCACTATGATTCAGGATCGGTGGCATTGAGCTTGGTGTTTTTTTTAGAAATTGCACACAGAAACAAACATCCTTTGATGGTTACTAAGAGTTTTTTGTTTTGTTTTTTAAGTTTTACAATAGAAAGTTGTTACAATTGAAACTCATATTTGGAGTTATTTTTTTTACCTTATAAAGTGACTGCAGGGCTGTTGTTATTTATTTCTTTAAAACTTTTCCTGCAAATTGGGTGAAAATTTAAAGAGCAGATCATCAAGTTTACCGTCTGCATTTCATCCGCATTTTCTTTCATCTCGCCCATTGCAATTCCCCTGACATAACATCACTGACCCCAATTCCTTCCTGTGTTTTGGTCTCAAGTCCTTCCCAATTCCTGACCCTTCTGAACTTTGTCCTTGGGCTAACGCTGCCCTTTTGATTTCAAATGTTTGATTCTAAAGTATACACACCTCTACCTAGTGTCCTATTCCCCTTATAAGCCTGTCTGTTGTTTGGCTGAAAACTATTCCAAGGAAATGAGTTCATTTCCAGACCGGAAAGGTGGCTAAAGTCCACAGTCTAAAGGTTCCACCAGTCTCTCTCTATCTGACCAGTAGGCCTGGTGCCTTTTACATTTTTTTATTCCACTTTTTCCTACCACTCTACCCCAGACCTCCTTTTAGAATAGTTGGTAGTGGCAGCCAGACACAATCTAGTTTTGCTATTTCTTTTTTTAAAGGAAATAAACCACATTAAGTAAGTGCTGTTCTTCTATGTATTTGTGTTCCAGTCAATTCTGCCCATCTTTAGGTGTCTGAATTCCCTTGAGAGAAACGTAGAGAAGTGCAAAATACTCGCCAAGTCTGATAAATCCCAAGTAGTTATTCAATTCTTCTGTAGATATGGTAAGTACTTTTAAAATTAGGTTAACATACTGTTTTTTTTTCTTAATAGTTTTTTATATTGGAGGATTCAGCACTCAAACTTCATGTCTAACTTTCCAGTCACACTATTACTTAGAATTTGTATAGTTTGTAATGGAACAATAGTAAATACTTGAAAAAAATATAATTTTACCTGTGACCTTAAAGATATCGTAAGATATTTGGTAGTAAATAGTCGATTCCTCTTTTTGACTATTAGAGGCATAAGGTTTGCCTGCATAGACACCAGTTAATTTTTAAATGTCTGTTTTAATTCAAACAATAGTCTGGCTGCTTGGTGTTATTCTTCAAGAATGCTTTGTATGTGTTGACTTAAGCACAAATACTCTTTGGTAAAAACTGAATAAAATAAGACCTACCTATTGAAGAATATGTAGCATAGTCTTTTTTTGTTTTGTTTTTCTTGATAGCATACTCTTTTGAAAGCCTCCTATCAGGCAGATATGAGGGGACATCAGAAAGTTCATGGAAACGTTCCTTTATCTTTTCATTCCATATTCCCACTAACTTTTCAAAACTTCCTCATGGTATCATGTTTGAGACTGAAAAAGGCTTGGGGATGGGCCCACGCCACAGAGCTAGTCAGTCCCAGTCCTTG